ATATATTAATGTGCATAAATATTTACACCAACACTGTACTTTCAGCCAAATTTTCACCAATACCCAGCCAAACCGCAAGAATAAACAAAATATCCTTATGTCTTTCATCGCATTAACATTCCACACAGCTTTTAAAACCTCTATCAGCGAACAAATATTTGTTTTTTACTCACATTTGATGCATATCTGTCCTCAAATATGTCCAAATTAGCGATTCAAAATGGCAACTGGAAGTCTTTTTATCCAAATAAATTTACTTCTCCTGGCCACAAAAATCCCTTTTCCATGTCTTGAAGCACTCAAAACACTTTTAATAACAAACATATTTTCATCTTATCAGCCTGTTTCGTCAGCTAACTGGCCAAAAAACAGTGGAAAACAACATTTCACTGTGAGCATTAGCTGTCTTCCTTAGCATTGTAACACAGCCGAAACATGGCCGCCTCCGGTGTGTTATCATCTTCCATCACTAACAAAGTTCCCACTCGGGGACTTGCGGTGGAATGGGGAGTGAAGCGGTCGTTGTTTCCTGAAGCTCCGAGCCCCGTCCCGAATATGTATTGATGTAAGTGTTTCTCTTCACTTTTTAAGATCAYGACGAATGCACATTCACCCCGCGTCCAAAGGAAAAGCTCCAAAAATCCTCAAGTGGTAAAACAACTACAACTTAAACCGTCTGAAAAAACAAAGGAGCATGACTATGCTACGCAAATAGATGATGCTAGCACCTCTGCTAAGCGGGGCAGACAAAATCTGACGCCAACGAATACCCCAGACAAGAGCCCGCAGGAAAATAAAAAATCGAAAGAWACACCAGAAGAAAGCCTGTGTAACACTATGAAGCAAGATATTTTGTTGCCAATTAACCAACTTGGGCAGYGTCTTGATGACCGCATGGACGACCTTCGCTCACAGCTACAACAGCACAGTGCTATGTTAGCTTCCATCGCAAAGACAACACAACTAAATTCTGAAGACATAGACGACTGCAAAACTAAAATCAAGTCTTTGGAGAAACAAGTGGGCTCCCTCCTCAAAGATAAAGATGACCTGAAAGAACGACTGGTGGAACAGGAAAGATACAAAAGGAGATGGGAGTCTTCGGATTAAGGGGAAAAARGAAGATGTAAATGAGAATATCAGAGCTGACACCATCAACCTGCTGTGTAAAGTGGCCCCAGACCTGGCAGAGAAGATGGAGGATGCTGTGGACATTGTTCACCGAGTAGGGAAAAAAAAACAGAACAGACTTCGACAGATTATCGTTCTCTTCACCAAAAGAATCATCCGAGATGAAATCTGGAAAAARATAAAGTCATCGGCAGTGTGCAAAGAGGTGGGTGTCCGATTTGCTGAAGACTTAACCACAGAGGATCATCTGGCAAGTCAAGCGATGTGGACTAAAATTGAGCAAGCGAGGAAAGAAGGAAAAGCTGCAGATTTCCAAGACCCACATGGATACATCTATGGCAAGAGGATCGAAGAAAGACCTAAAGGACCGGGTTGAGTATAGAAAATGACTGAACTGGAGAAGTGGAGAGATTCTTTTTTTWTTTTTATTTAAATGGGACACTCACAGTTATCGTTACCACCTCCTTAACTGTTTTCCTAATTTTTGTTTTGTTTTTATGTGCTCAGTGTTACCATTTCAAAGTTCTATTTCCTGTTCATCATTCAATGCTAGGGGTTTAAAGG